CCCCGCTCCTCGCGCCCCACGCTGCGTGCCCTCACCTCGGCGGCAGCTGCTGCGAGCCAGGCGTTGGTTTCGCTCCCACAAGATGGCGGCTCTGACGGCGGCCACGTCAGCGACTGCGACCGCGGGGCACGCCGGGTAGGGGGAAGGCACGCCAGAGGCCCCCCCATTGCGCTCCGCGGCGCACGCGCGCTGACTCCGAACGAGCTGCAGGGGGCGGGGCCAGAGACGTCCCGCCCCGCCCTGGCCCTCGCGAGCAGGCGTCTGAACCTGTGCGATTTGTCGGTGGCGCCCTCCTGCCTATTTCGCAGATGGAGAGACTGAGGTCCCTGGCAATCCCTGCGGAACCAGTGCAATGGGACCTGGGTGCTTCACACTTCCTGGGAGGACTGTGTGAGGACCAGAGAACGCAATGTTCTTCTCCGCGGTGTCCGGGGTCCCTAGTCCCTTGGCTGGACACGACAGCAAGCCCTGACACTGCGGAAACCTACGCCAAAACTGTGTTTGCAGCTGTCCCGCAAGGTGGTCAGGGCCAGAGGGCATGACCTAGGGACAGGGCTGCCTGGGAGTGTTGTCATGGCCAGAGGAGACGGGGACCCGAGCCTGGGGACAGCGCTGTCTGGGAGGGCAATCAAGACGGCCTCTGAAGAGGTAGTCTTTCAAATGGGATCCAGGCAAGGTGTAGGAGCCACATCTGCCAGGAAGCCCTTCTAAGGTTGGGCAGAAAGGGACTGGGACTCTTGGGACCTCTCTGCGATCTGCATGTTTGAGGCCTGCTTATGACCACTACCCTCAGGTGCCTCCTCAACACACAGCCCTGGTGCAGCTGGGCTGATGGGCGTCTGGGTGAGGGGGTCTTTGCATCTCAGTGCCCCATTTTCTCCAGGCCAAGCCCAAGGGGCCACTCAGCCTGGCCAGCGGCCTCCTCCCCTCTCTGCCCTGTGGTCAGGGTGTCATCTCTGGTCTCTGGTCTGAGTCCCCAAGTGTTCCCGGGCTGCACCTTCTGACACTGTGACAGTCCCTGCAGCGTGACCCTCTGTCCCTGAGCTGCCTTTCCTCCCCATGTGTGCTCCTGGCCCACATTTCTCTCCATCAAGTGTGATGGGGTTGTCTGTTTGGGGTGGTCTCTCTCCCACTCTAAACACACCAGGGGACGGGTGCAGAGACCCATGGAACCTTCTGGTGTGCTGGCTCCCTGTGCCCAGGGAGAGATCGGGGCCTAGATGGACATCCATAGGGGTCATGTGATCGCAGCATCACAGGCTGTGTGGCCACTTTAGAGCCAAGGACCAAGGCCTGGGCATGGGATCCCTGTGGGTAGAAGGCAGCTGGATGGCCCTAGGTTCATCCCTGGGGGTCTGTGGGAACCACAGGCCACCTTTCCTTCCTTTAAATTAAAAAGCCAAAAGTGCAGGCAGGAAGGCAAGTGTGTCATCTGAGTGTGCATCTGCACACCAGCTTTAGAAATAATGAAACAAATTTCTGGGTGCCTGCCCAGGTTGAGTAATGTGCTGTCTTCCTGATTCTGGGCTTCTAGTCCTCCCACCAGGGAGAGGGGGCATCTCCAGAACAGCTAGGTAAAGGGAGCCTGGACCAGCACTTCCAGGAGCATTCCTGCCCAGGAAGGAGGCCTGCTGGGAGCTCAGAAAACTTGAGTGTCCTGGGAAGAGCCCCAGCTGTTCCCCAAGGCTGCCAGGGAGGGGTCCCTTCCCTCTTTTCTGAGGTCCTGGGGATGGGACCAGCTTGGGCCAGGAGGGGCGAGGTGAGCCAGCTATGGGAGCAGGGAGGGAGGTTGGCCAGGCTGGGGCTCCCTGCCTGAGAACCACGTCAGACAGGGATACAAGCAGGTGACCTCCCAGGACAGTGGGTGGAGGGACAGGTGGCCAGAGTAAAGGGACAGGGTCCTGTGTGTGGGACCCACACATGACCAGTATGGCCAGGTGAGGGGGAGCAGGAGCTGTTCACACCCCAGGACCCCAGGCTAACCCAGTGCCTTGTGCAGCCTCCGTGTTTGGGGTGTGAGTTTTGTGGCACTTGAGCCAGGTTACAGGTGCTCAGATAGGTCCGTTGTGTACCTGATGTCACACAGCTAGAATGGACCCCACAAGAGGTTGGCCCCCACCCCCCAGTCTGCTTGTGGCCAGTATCTTTGCTCCTTCCCCAGCCCTGCCCTGGCTCTTGGAAAACAGACACTTTGGTGCCTCTGAGGCTGCAGTGTTACTTGAGCTCTGCTCTAGTGACAGAGAGCTCACTACTGTACCAGGCAGCCCAGCCTACTGGGTTGGCTGTGCATCACATTGGGCAGGGAGCGTCCACCTCTCTGGGATTTTCTGCCTCTCTCTGCCCCCACACAGTTCCTCCCCTCACAGCCCCCAAAGGGAGGCTTTGAGCATCTAATGCTGAAGAATCTCGGGTATGGTAGCACCAGGTGGTTCTGTTGAGTAGCGCTGAGTCTCAACCCAGCCCTCAATGTCCAGGACCAGGGAATGGGAAGAGCTTTTTACCCTTCAAGACTTCCTTGGAGGCTGGAGTGGGGAGAGGACTCTGCCTTCTCTGCCCCCACCCCCACCCACGCCAAGCGTTGAAGGCATTAGTGTGGCTGTTCTGGTCCCATGGGCCCTGGAGGAGCCACCCAGCCCTACCTTCTTGGCCTGGGCAGGGTCAGGACTTGTTACATTTGACTGCTCAGAGGATCACGGCTCAGCGACATGGACTCTAGGAGCTGGCTTAGGGCCTCTGCCACCTCAGGTCCCTTACAGGCATTGCCTGTTCCCTTAGACTTGCTTCAGCTTCAGTTTCCCCATCTCACACCAGTCCTTCATCCCTCAAAGGAACGCCCAGAGCTGTGCATAGCCGTCCCCCAGGCCAACGCGAGGCCTTAGTCCCCCTGCAGGGTCTACCCTGGGCAATGACTGTCTTCTGTCTTGTTCTGGCCTCACCTGGGTGGACAGGTACACAGCAGCAAACTGTGTGCCTTGGTGCGGGGGCTTTTATTAACTGATGCACTTCAGCATTTCCTTCGGCCTTGAGTGCAGCAGCATTCCCAGACAGTGACGTGATCGTACCTCACCGCAGCCTCAACCTCCTGGCTCAAGTGATCCTTGTACCTCAGCCTCCCAAGTAGCTGGAACTACACCACCATGCCCAACTATTTTTTTCTTTATTATTATTATTATTATTTTTAGAGATGAGATCTCACTATGTGGCCCAGGCTGACTTCAAACCCCTGGCCTCAAGTGACCCTCCTACCTTGGCCTTCCAAAGTGCTGAGACTACAGGAGTGAGCCAATACACCAAACTGGAAATATTGTTTATATCCTCATACTGTTTATGTAGAGGTGGCGTGGTCTCATCATTCCAGGGTACTAATAAGAGAACTTCTGACCTCTGTCTATACTCACCAATCCATCGCTCCATCAGAATAATAAAATACCCGTCATCCCCGAACTTGCACACCACACCAGTCTCAAAGTGTCTGACAATGGTGTCTGTTTCTTTCATCACTTATCTTAGGGTTAGTGAGACAGAATGTTCTCCGCTTGCACACACGGGGCCCCTTCCCACTCAGACTCAGCCGGTGGCCGGCCGTGAGTCCTGCCCAGTTTCAGACATCCCCTTCTACTGTGGCCTCGGCAAGTTGTCTGCCTACTAATTTCCCCCAAGTCCCCACGGCGGTGGTTAGGTGGAGTTCCTGGCCCCACTGCAGTCAGTCAAGGACTTACCCACTGGTCTGATCTGGACCCGCTGGTGGAAGGACCAAATATGCAACCAGAAGGATTAGGTCCACTAGGTAAGCAAGAGGACATAGAGCCACAGAGGCCGGAGCCCAGTAGTGTGGCCTGTGAAGGGGATCCTGACTCCAGACTGTGTTGGACAAGTAGGTCCCTTCAGGCACCTCTCTGGGCTGAAAATCTGCATTTCTAACTTGTTCCAATGAGGGAACTCTGCTGGCCCAGGGAGCTTTTCTGGGGTGGATGACGGGGTAGGGCAGACCACTGACCAGCCAATCTCTTCCAGCCCAAGGCACTAGGATTCTAAGACTCTGCTGGCTGGCGGGAGGGGCGGGGTCTGAGGGTCGGTGCTCAGGGCAGCAGGGAGAGGGGCAGGGTGGAGCTCTAGGAAGAGTCCCGAGGCACCCCCAGTTCAGAGTTGGAGGGGCCGCTACACCCTACCCCACCTCAGGAATATGGCACTGATTGGGGTGTGGGCATGGCATTGGATACAGCTGGTCTGGCTTGGTTGTGAGAGTGGCCTTCACTCTTGGGCCTGGTCATCGCCCTCTGCCCCAGGCCTCTGGGGGGCATCCACTGGGCACCCAAACTGCCAGGTACCACTACCTGAGAGCCCAGGTCCCAGGAGAGACTCCCATTGTGTTGGGGAATCCTGGGGTTATCTGTTCTCTCCACCTCCCAGCAGAAGACAAGCAGCTGCCCAGGTGACCAGCAAGGAGGCTTTGGGACCAGATATGCTTCTTGAGCTTTCACAGGGTTTACCTTGGAAAATTGAAGGTATAATTAGCATACAACAACATGCACATGCATGTTATATGTTAAGTGTAGGTTCCCATGCGCTTGGGAAATGTATATATCTATTCCAAAAAGACTGAAAATACCTTCATCTCCCCATCCCCCACCACCAGAAATCCTATCTCCAAGTCTCCAATCCTTGGCCACACCATCCACAGAGAACACTCTAGTTCTTACATCCCCTCATTAGGGAGCAAAGGGTCCCTGCCCCCGTCCTGTGCCCTCTCTCCTGCAGAAGAGCTCTCCTGGGTGGGTCAGCAGAGCCCACACCACTTTGGGCTCTGGGGAATAGGAGAGAGGGATCTCCCTAGTCTCCTTCCAGGCCAGACGTTAGGACCCAGGATTCTGCAAAGGGACTGACTTGCCCTGCAGCTCTGGACAGTCCCAGAGTCTGCTTCTGAGCTCAGAGCCCCTGGGATCTGGCCATGCGCTACCCCAGGGCCTTGGAGGGTGTGGAGCTGTTTTGCCCAGATCTGCTCAGGGCAGAGCTCTCCCAGAGTGGTTGGGGCGGAGAACAGTGGGGTCTGGGGTTGGGGCATCACAGCCAGGCCAGTGGCATGGACCAACACTGAACAGACTGCAGCTCTATTTGTGGAGACGTCTTGGCAGCAAGCA